GAGTTGTGATGAAGTGCAGAAGAAGGAGAAAGGGAAGTAATCTTACAGCCTGAGCTCCTGCCCCAGAGGCCTGGGTGGGGCGTTTCTGGATAGAGCACATAATGCCCTGGACAGAAACAAATTGGAAGAAGAGAACAACAAGAAGGGATGAGAGAGGCACAGAAAAAAAAGGATGCTCAAGACCAGCTATAAAATAATTACTCGGCATCTTCACTCAAGGGTAGAGGTGTGGATTTTCCCCAAGTTTTCCCTTTCGAGAGATGCCAAGGTGAAAACTGAGTCCATCTTGGCCGGGTGCGGTGGCTCACGCCTGTAATCCCAACACTTTGGGAGGTCAAGGCAGGCGGATCACTTGAGGTCAGGAGTTTGAGACCAGCCTGGCCAACATGGTGAAGCACCATCTCTACTAAAACCACAAAAATTAGCTGGGCATGGTGGTGGGCGCCTGTAGTTCCAGCTACAAAGGAGGCTGAGGTGGCAGGATGGTTTGAGCCTGGGAGGAGGAGGTTGCAGTGAGCTGAAATCATGCCACTGCATTCCAGCCGGGGTGACGTCAGAGCAAGACTCCATCTCACACACACACAAAGAATCCATTATTTCATGTTTTTGAGTTTGGAGAAAGGTAGACAGTGGTTTCCACCTTCATTCCCTGGGAACCTGTGCCAACCTTGAACTTTACTTTTTCTGGCCCTTGCTACCAAATTTCATCCCTAGGGAGGAGGCAGAACCCTGGCTCAGAACAATGACAGGAGATGGAGAAGAACAAAGCTTCTCTCTTCAAACCTGTTTCCATGGTCCACCCCACAGCCGCAGCTACACATCCCGCAGTTCCAGGAAGCCATATCCTTCCGGGCATTTTCAGCTTTTGTGTCTCCCTTTTCAACAAGACAGGTGTCCTGGTTCTCACACAGACTCTAAGTTGAAAAGCTATGAAAGGGGACTGACCATAAGTTTCAAAAAAAAACAACAAACCCAGCGCCTTTCCAAACCCAGTTTGAAACAGCCTGGTGAAATGAAGGAAGGAAGGACTTCCTCCTTGGTTGCAGGACTGGATTCTTAGAGCACCCTCTCTTCCTCTGAGTCCCCTGGTTTATATAATTTGAATGACTGGGTATTCCAGAGCATTACCTCATAGCAAATGCTAGGAAGCGCCAGAATGCTGTTTGCCTAGAGGGAGTGGGAGGAGGGATGAGAACCGAGGCAGAGGAGAGACAAGGGAGGTTAAAGGCTGGTCCCAGGTGCAGGTGCAGCTACAGGTGGGGGGACTCACTCTGTGTCATGCCTATCCCTAGTGACACCCCAGGGAGATGACCAGCTTAATAGCTGTACTCTGGGTTCCATTCGGCCAGAGGTTTCTCCTCAGAGATCAGGCAGGCACGTTGAGCCCTATCTGCCACTCCATCTGTGCCCATCGAGTCCCCAGATGGCAACACTCCCTCTCCACTTCACCTGCACAGCCTCCATCTATGTCCAGTACTGATTCTCCTGCATCCCTTCTGCTCTGGGGCTGTCACTGCCCTTGGTCTCAGCAAAAACCCTGGAGGTGCACGGGCTGTGCCAGCAGCCCTGGTCGACCTGCAGCCTCCCGGATGTCCATAGAAAGCCTGGAGAAGGCTGATCCTGCATCCCTGACTAATGATCACGCCTTCAAGACGGGATGCAGCCTGTGACTCAAACTGTGGAGGCTCAGCAAATGCAAGAGTGGGAGGGAGAAGAGAGGAACATGGAGGAAAACAAAGATGAAGAGGGGGAGTAGCCAGAGAAAAAGCAAAGGAAGAAAGGCCTCAGATTCTTGAAATCTGCAAAGCTGCCCTCCCCACTGTGGCCTCCGCAGTGATTAAAATGATGAGATAACATCTTCTACAACAGTCCTGCAGTCTTGTTGGATATTACTTCAAGGGAAGAGAGGATGAACGTTAGATGAGGATGTTAGCGTAATTGCAGCTACTGAAACTTGCAATACAGTATCATGTATACTGCATATCCAAATTCAGATTTATATAGACAGTGAAATCTTAAGGACAAGAACCATGGATCTTTTCACACTAGAGAGGTAATAATATATGCCAAAACTGTTTTAGTTTGGTCCTGTTCCAAGAATATGAGTCTGGCCAGGAAGGATATTTAAAGACAAGTGAGGTTCACTCTTTCCATAGGAAGTTGTTATGTCCATGGGAGGTAGTTATGACATACATTATATGTGATGGTTTATAATAACAAATTATATTATAAAAAGAGATTTGCTTTGTATGCGCAGTATATATGGGCACACAGGGGTTTATATGTGTAGACTACAGGTCTACAGCTATATTTAAAAGTTCATTTGCCTGGGCACAGTGGCTCACACCTGTAATCCCAGCACTTTGGGAGGCCGAGGTAGGCTGATCATCTGAGGTCAGGAGTTCAACACTAGCCTGTCCAACATGTTGAAATCCCGTCTCTACTGAAAATACAAAAATTAGCCGGGCGTGATGGCACGTGCCTGTAATCCCAGCTACTTGTGAGACTGAGGCAGGAGAATCGCTTGAACCCAGGAGGCAGAGGTTACAGTGAGCTGAGATTGTGCCACTGCACTCCAGCCTGGGTGACAGAGTGAGACTC